ACACATGCACGTTGATAATTTCCTTCTTGTCAAAAAACCAAAACACAAAAAATCTAAGCACTCGACAAAAAAGATTAACTTTACTGTAACTTTTTCTAATATAGAAGAATGAAAGAGTTAAACCTATTTAGGCGACATACATTTTCTACCAGATTAGCAGAGAGAAATTGGCATGGCAGTCCTCACCCTATGCAATCATACTGTAGCGTCTACCGGAACCTTCTCCTGGTGGATTGCCATTCAGACTGGTGGGGAAACAACTTACTACAAAGGTTGGCCTGCAAGGAACTCTAGTCTTGTAAAACGTGTTCACGTTAACGATTATTTCCTTCCATCGTGAATCGGAATGGGATAGGTACTCCTCTACTTGGATAGTATTTACTGTTATTTCCTTTCAGACGCTTTAAATGCTACTTGTCACAAAATTTGTCTGGTAAACATTTTTTGTTATTGATTAATTGTTCATATATGTCTAAAAAAACTTTTCCGTTTCTACCTACCCACCAGTTTTTCAAGATTTCTAATATTTTATCAGTTAACAGTTTCGATTAAAAATTAAATGACTTAAGTGGAAGATTATACAAGGTCAAGCAATACACTGTTTTTGTCACTGTGTTAGATATTTTCTAGATTTTGCCAACTTTCAGGACTTGATACTCAACTCAGAAGTTGCAAAAAACAGTGACTCAAAAAGTGCGTTGGTAGCAGAGTGAAATCTATCCGAAATAGAAGAGAAAAGCAATTTGTATTAGACATGGTCATCCTCAGAGTCCTACTTCTCTGTTTGTTTGCGAAAGTTTTTTTAAAATTTCTAAAATTTTTGGAAAGTTTTTTTTTTTACAGACATAGAAAAACAGTGGAATTGTATATTAACAAATTATGGCAAGTTGATAAATGTTTTTTTTTAAAAAAAGAAGAAATATGTCGAAAAGACAGTTATAATTGAAATCCACGAAGAAAAACGGAGATGAAAATGAATTTTGCCTACACTGAAAAAATCAACATCTTTCTGCTCGATCGCAGAAAGCGATTTTTTAAACTAAACTTAAAAATTTAGTCTGGAAAACATTCTCTCCGTTTCATTCTTGTAAAGTTTTTCTTAACGTTATCAACTGTATGCTTAGGATCTTAATTAGAAAAGAAATACAATAATCTAGCGAAAAAAAACTGCACTTAAGAAAACAAACGAAATATTTTGTACGGAACTACAATAATTTGATCCTTCAACAGCTTATTACTATATTTCTCAAAACAGTGTCTAACAGCCCTTGTCGCTAAATGCAAAAAAATAGAGGATCAAGGATCAGAAGTGAAAATCAACAATTCAAAGAAGAATCGAAGAATGGTAAAATTCAAGCATTCAGAAGCAAGAAAATTTATCATCATCAACTGCCAAAAAAGAGGTCATTGACTAATTGGATAATAAATGACCTGGAGATATCACATACGTAAGAAAAACTCAATAATGAAGAAAAGTAGGAAAAGAAGACATTATGAAAAACTAGAAAAATGAAGAAACGGTAAAGATTTTGCTAAAAATGAAAGAACGGTTGAGATAACAATTACTCTTACATCAGGAGAAATGATGGACACGAGGTTATTTTTATACCAAAAAGTACAAATAACATACTTTAGTAAGCTGGAAAGAATTCTGAATATTATATAATTAAAGCATATTGTAAAAGGTACTTTTATAAAATTAATGTATTTGCAATTTGCTTTTAAATGTGACATTATGAAAAGATAATTACAAAAATACAAGTTTCTTTTTCCTGAAGTTGTTTAGAACGTATTGTACCTTTTCATACTATCACTCTGTATTATCAGAAAACCTAATGAAAGTATTCGCAAAAGAAGTCTTATCAACACCTTAAATCCGTGTGGCAGGCTATTATTCAGTTAAGGAAGTTTAAACTGAATTGGCACTTCCCTAATAAAGGATAGCTTAGTTTCTTTCTGTAAGCACTGTAAAATAAAATTTCACAAATATTTTTTACTTCTTTCTGCGAACAACCTCCCGTTCCATTCAATAATAATTAATACTTGGCACCAGATATTGTACGCAGTGTAGAATAACGTCTCTAACACTCATAGAATTCACTTCTGGTTGTAAAGTCAGTATGACGTACTGTACGATGCCCTTTGTAGCTCACTGAAGGCAATAAACAGCGTTACTCGCAACCACCGTACTGTGCCATACTGGCAGTGTCTCAGAAGAGGTATCTGTCGACGTCACAACCAGAAGCTGCATTGCATGGGTTTCTGCAAACTCCTCCTCGTACCTCTTACAGCATTTGTGTTGTAAAAGTATGACTGCTCATTTTAAAACTGCAAGACAGTTAGGCTGAAATAACTAGATAGCAGGACTTGCAAATTGCTGAATATGCTTATGGTTTGATAAAACTTTCCAGTCAAATTAAACAACTGATTCTGTACAAAGTCTAGTTGAAAAATAAAAATATTTTTAAAAAAGTTAAACAAGGTAAGAAATGGTTTTTTTAAGCATTTGACTTAGATCAAAAAGAAGTGAGTAAGATTACCGACTATTTGAAAACAATGATAAATGAAACTTAGAAGGCAGATTAGTTGGAAATCCTGTGTGAAAAGATCAGGCTGGTGCAACAAATCCTATTGGAAGTATAAAGTAATAATATCAAACTTTGTACAAGTGGCTGTAATCGCAATCAATCACTGTTCGAACACGTTAAAAAAAAAACAGAAAAAAATTTTTTATTTATTTCTTTATGTAAAAATGTTTCACCCGTCTACGACAATAAAAGTTTGTAAAAAAAATTGAAATTTTTCATCAACGAGGTAGACAAAGAGGGAAACAGTAAATCATAGTTCAAAATTTTTCTGCTGCGTGTAGAGAAAATAATGCTCTAAAATTAAAATTAAAAAAAAATAAACTCTAATTTAAAAAAATAGAATTTTCTGTGAAAACTTTTCAATTTTTAGATTTTTGAAATTTCTCTTTCAATAGAATTGCAAAAATTTTCTTACACTGGTAGCTTTGTACATGCATTTGTTCTCAAAATTATTTATTTTGACAAATAATTCTAACAAGAGATAAAGTTATGACGTGTCAAAGACAACATCAAAAATTGATGGTTTCTCATGGCCTGATCTGGTATACTTGTATTTCCATTTTGTGATATTACTGCTTAAAGGTTTTCTTTATTGATTTATGTTTTTTTTATTGTACTTTTTAAAAATAACTTAGGTGCACAACTTAAAAGTAATTTTTATTTGATTCTTTTTCTACAAGATTTTAAGAAATTTTTTGAAATATTTGGACTAACATAATCATCAATGACCTGAGAGAAATGT